GTTGAGGTCATCTGGCAGGCTGTCTGTGGAGCTGATGATGCTGGTGGTAGTCCTGTAGTCTGTGATGTGCTGCAGGCCTTGCCACATCCGCCTGGAGTCAGCAGTAGAATAGAAGCCACTCAGCTTCTCTCTGTACTGCCTCTTGAGTGCTGTAATGGCTTTCCTTAGTCCGTACTTCGCATCTTTGTACTCCATGTCATTGCCCGATTTGAATGCATGAGAGCGAGCACGCAAAATGTGGTGTACCTGTTTATCCAGGGCTTCTGGTTGGGGAATCTCCTGACTTGTATGGTGGGCACAATGTTGTCAATACAGGTACTAATGTACCCGGTCACATACTCAGCATAATCCTGTACACTGACAGAAAAGTCCTCCAAGATGGCTGCAGCTTTAAACACATCCCAGTCTGTCTGGGCGAAACAGTCCTGCAGGATGCCTTCAGTCTCTGGGGTCCAGAGTTTAATTTGTTTGGTGACAGGATTTGTTTGTTTCAGTCTTTGTCTGTAAGCTGGATACAGGAACAAAGAAATGTGGTCTGAGCATCCAAGGTGGGGGTGCGGCCTCGTATGCACCTTGTATGTTACTGTAAACATGATCCAGAGTGTTCTTGTCCCGGGTGGGAATGTCCACATGTTGGTAATATTTGGGAAGTACAGTCCATAAATTGCACTGGTTAAAGTCGCCTGCAGCGATAAAAATCGCATCGGGGTGCGCTGTCTTTAGCGTGCTGATGACATCATAGAGTTTGCTGAGAGCTGCAGAGGCATTAGCTCTTGGGCTAACATACACAGCAGCAAGAAACACAGCACTATGTTCTCTTGCTAGATAATAGGGCTGGCATTTCAGCAATAAAAACTCTACATCTGGCGAACAGTGCTTATAAGCAGTCCATACATCTGCACACCACGAGTTATTGATAAACACACACACACCACCTCTTTTTACCTTCCCCGAAGCAGCAGTGCAGTCCACCCGATGTACAAAGTGAGTCTCTAGCTGAATCGCGGAATCTGGGACTCTGTCAGAAAGCCAAGTCTCGGTGAGAATTAGAGCACAGCATTCTCGTTGTTGTTATTGCAAGAGCGGACAATGAGTTGTAGCTCTGGTGGTATGAAACCAGTAAATTCCCAGTGGCTGTGTGAGTTAGCGATATCCAGCAATGCCTGTCTGTTGTATGTTAGCAGTGCATGACATTTGTGCACTGCAGAAAGGGTAAAAAACACACAAAAAAAGAAGAAAACGAAGAAAAAGCCAGCATTTGAGAGTGGAACATGCAAACACGTCTGCCTCGGTGGGCGCCATATCTCATTCATAAGTCATTCAGAGTGGATGTGTATGATGTCTTAGGGACCGGTATGATAATGGATTTTTTGAAAATGCGAGGAACTACTGCTTGAGTTAAGGACAGGTTGAAGATGTCTGTATACACACTAGCTAGTTGATCCCCACAGGTTCTCAACACCCTAGGGGGGACATCGTCTGGTCCCGCCGCCTTATGGGGGTTTACCTGTTTCAGGAACTTCAAGACCTGTGTGTGCGTCACCTGAAAAGTAATGTCCCCTGGGTCACAGGGGGATTTTGAAGGGGGTGTCTGTGTTCAACCTGTCAGACCTTGCATAGAAGTTGTTGAGGCTGTCAGGGAGGGTGGCGTCCTGGGGCTGGGCATAAACTAAACTCACAATGATACATTGCAGCTCTTGAGGTAAATAAAATGGCCTTAGTTTTAGTGTTAAATGTTCCACATCTAAGGGCATATAATGTAGAGAGGTTTATTAGAGATTTAATATTCATCAGTTATAGTTACTGTGAGTTAATTGAACTCAGGGCCTCTACTTTATAGGTGGGTTACATACAGATCCATACAAGTCTCTATTTTTAAGTACTCTATTTTTATTCCTATTTATCTCATTTCAATGAGCATTCCTTTGTTTGTCTGCATTGTTTACTGCCTATTTACAGTGCCTTGCGAAAGTATTCGGCCCCCTTGAACTTTGCGACCTTTTGCCACATTTCAGGCTTCAAACATAAAGATATAAAACTGTAATTTTTTGTGAAGAATCAACAACAAGTGGGACACAATCATGAAGTGGAACGAAATTTATTGGATATGTCAAACTTTTTTAACAAATAAAAAA